GGCCTTCTATGGAATTAGTCACAGCAGGCTAAATATTTGTACCATAAAGTACAATCGAGGATATGTATGACCAAGGAAGCTAAAAAATTCTCTTGCAGAAATATCACAATGAATTACAATGATTTTGGACTGCAGTTTTAACTTTGCTTCTATAAGACAATTATTAAGCGAGCAACTGTATGTCATACTACTAACTGCAAAATTTATATGTAGCACAAACTGATGTAACTTGCTGGGTTTGGGCTTAGCTCCAAAACCCAAGGAAAAAGACATGGGTTTTTTTTTTCAATCACAAATCCTACTTATACTGACCATGTCTGAACCTAGAATACTGGCTTATTCCTGCTCTAACAAACACCAAGGGACTAAAGAAAGCACAAATTAAGAGCTAGCTATTGATTCTTCCAACATTTAGGTAAGAACTGCTGTTTTCTAAATCTTCAGATCTGATGCTGACATACCTAGGAATTTGATTCCCCCCCCCCATCCATCGAGATAATGTTCCACCCTCCTTCAGTTAGGTTACATTTGCCATCCTTCTTAAGAGAAAATCCTGGCTCTTTACTATTATTTTCAGAAAATCTTTATTTTGTGTCATCTTTAGCCTGGAATTGGATGACTCACACCCTGAGAAAGGGGAGATGGAGAAACCTCACGCATATGGCAGCTATTACAGCAAGTTGGTTTTAAATTACTCTATGCTACAGCTGGCTATAAGGGGGAGGGGGTGGGGGCGGATGAGGGTGAGGGTGAGTCCTAACATCCCTATGGCCCCCTTCTAAAGAAAAAAGAAAAAAAAACTATTCTACTTCCTGCATGCCCTGCAGAAATTTTTGGACAGGAGCGCTATAATTCACTGACTTGTTCAAGAATGGGGGATGGGGCCCCAGCGGGAACTCCAGAAGAGGAGAAGAAAATTAATGGCAGAGCTTCTACCAAAAGCAAAACAGCAGCACTGGAAGGATGCTGGGAGTGGGGTGGGGGCTTGAGGGGAACATGACTGGGCTGATTTAGTGTCCTTTGCAGATAAGGTACTACTAAAGAAAAGCAGAACTGAAGCCAATTCTGAAGGCAAAATCAGCGATCATAATTTTAAAGGCAGTAATGAGGCACATAAGGAGAGAGCCCTCAGGGCTTTTAATCAGTACTTCAAGTACTTAATGCGATACAACAATTTTGTCTGTTGAAAACTCCCAAGATTCCCCCAAATTTCTCTAATTAGAGCCTTCTTGATAGATTGGGGTGATAATTCCCAGAAATTTCAGTCAGACTTGAACATACTGGGAGGGCACTCTCTCTCTCTCTCTCTCTCTCTCTCTCTCTCTCTCTCTCTCGCCCCCCCCCTGTCTTGGGAACTGTGTGAGATGCTATCAGATGCAATAATATACAAAGGATGAAAAATCCTCAGATCTGCTAAAATGAATCATTCTCAATGTCTTCTTCAAGTGTCATCATTCCCTAAGCCTCGTTTCTGCCTCACCTCATCGCATCATGGTGTATTCTTTATTAAATATACAGTAAGAGGTTGATGACTGCACAACACGCTAAGCCAAAAACCATATAATGGCTTAGTGCAATGCGTGATCTATGTCACAATCACCTTATTACTTGGAAACCAGGTTCAGGAACTGAGTCAAGGCAGGAGGTCCCACCATGATTCTAGGAGAGGAGGAGGAAGAGGATAATTTATTTTTTCTTTCTCTCCAGTCTTTTTTCTTAAGAAATTGAGATTACAAAATGTAGGAATTTCCCTTCATTTTATCCTGGCCACAAACCTATGGTAGCATATTGGGCTTCAAGACATTGATGGAACCAAACTCAAACAGCCCTGTGGTATATGCCTGTATTACAGTATTGAATTTCTGCATTATTGTTGCTTTTAATTAGGTGCCATAAAGTTGATGCTGACTCTTAGCAATGACAAGGATACATTTTCTCCATGATGCTCTGTCTCCAACCTGGTCCTTCAGGTCTTACAACAGTGTTGTAATGTTACCAGAATAAACTCTGTCACCTCTCTGGTTTGTATTTACATAATCATTATGTAGAGAAATAACAAACTTTTGACATAATGAACTTGTTTGTATCAGATTTTTTTTAAAAAATCTAACTTTCATTATTGAAGAAAAATATTTGAAATGTGCAGAGACTGTTTTAAGTGTAGTCTTACTAACTATTCACTCTGTCAATGCTTTCTAACTAAAATCCCTGTGTATAAAGGACCATCATTTCCCCTTTCCTCAGCCTACTATACTCATATATGATTAACAGGTAAAGGAACCAACCCAAAAATATAACTGCTTCTTTTATTCTCCTTGCTTCTAATGTCTGGACTTAAATTGCAATTGCATCAGATCAGGCTGCCTTGCTTCAAGCTAGCAACCCATTATCCACCATTAGACTGCAGCCTTACTTTTGCTAGTTTGGCTACTTCAACCCAATGACCTTATCTATTTATCCGGAAGCAAGCCTCACTTACTTCGGAGCTTGCTTTTCTTCAAGTTAGTGTGCTTAGACATTAGTTCCACTGAGAACAGCAGGATGCCTTTCTGAATAAATACACATGGGCCTTGCTTGCCCATTCCACCGAATTTTCAAACAAACAAGGAAAAGAGCTGGGATTCCTAGCTGATCTTAAAAACTGTACCTCGAATTAACTTTCCCCCTCAGAAATTCAATAGGACTTATTCCCAAATAAGGGTCAAAACATTTCATAAGGCTTAAGATGTGGGATTTCCCACAATCACATGACTGATCTTCTTACAAATCTTGTTTGCAGCAACCACATCAATTCCTAATCAGAGATTTCATCATTTTAATCCCTTGCTTCCTTCCACTTTTCTCTCCAGCATACCCTTCCTACAACAGCCTTCCTAGAAGCTAAACTATAACCTAGAAACTGCTCATCCATAGAAGCACCCTTGAGTAGAAAAGCCAGTTTGATGTAGTGCAGAGGTATCAAACTGCCAGCCCATGGGCCGGATGCATCATCCGGAAGGTGCGCCCACCCCACTGCTGGCAATGGCAAAACTGTCCCGATACATTGCGCGACATCACGTGACATCGCGAGTTTGACATGTCTGATGTAGTGTGTTAAGACATCAGGATATGTTCTAGTCCCACCTTGAACATGAAGCCAGTGGGGGACTTGGGCCAGTCTGTCTGAGGAAGGAGGCAAAGCCACTTTTAAAAACATCTTCCCAAGAAAACTGCAGACTAGCTAATGCAGTTGCCAGGGATCAAAAACTAACTTGAAGGCATACACATACACAAAACAAAAAAAAATTGGGAAGAGCTCACATATTACTTATGTATGTATTAATATTTTATGCCATCCCAATCAAGCAATTCAGTAGGCACACTAATATTAAAGTAAAAAGTGATCTCCTAAAAACATCTCCAGTACAAAAACAATCAGACCAGCATAAAATATAATAGTCACCCAACTTTGATCAGATTAGGTATCCAGTATGTTGAAGGCCTACTTAAAAAGAATTGTTTGTAGGTTTTTTCCTGAATATTACGTTATGTGACATTCCACAAGTTTGACATTACCACATAGGCGGCCTGTTTTCTGTCCCACATTCTTCTGGGGACAAAACCTTGAGCAGGCTGTTTAGAATCAGATAACCTCACAGAAGGAACATAATCATTTGGGACAAGTTAGTCCCTAGATCATTCTAGATATTCTAGATCACAATATTTTTACATACAATATAACTTGTTCAATCAGCCACCATGCCTCATGCTAAGTTACAAACTATAGTTTTGAACCTAATGGCAAAGTCCATACAATCACTCTACACAGAACCAGATTGCACCATGGTTTTGCTTTATGTGCTACCCCAGATAAGTATCAACTTAACTTTATTTTTTTTACATAAATTTAAGAAGATATAAACCTAACAAGAAGAATAAACTACTTTGCAGGCTGATACATAGTACTAATTTTGTTTTAATAGTGATTTGTTGAATAAGCTACAATGACTGATTTATATATTACAATGAATATGGCTTGCTTGAATCTGGCTTATCTCAATTCAGCCACAGGTTTAATAGACCTATGGTTCTATGTGTTTACCCAACACATTGAACCACAACTAGGCAATGATATTTTAGCATAGTGTGCAGTGCAAAGCAAACCTTTTATGATTAGTTTATGTCTTAGGCTCAGAGACTCCGAATATTGATGAATTAAACTAAACTCGGTTAATCAGGGCAAAATGTATCATATAAACGCAGTCACATAAAATTCTTTAGAACAGGAGTGTCAAACTCGCAATGTCACGTGACATATCGTGACTTTTTTGACATTGCTGGCAATGGGGAGGGCACGGTTTCGCTATGATGGATCCAGCCCGCAGGCTGGCAGTTTGACACTCCTGCTTTAGAATATCCTTTTCCAACAGGGCACATATAGATGTGTTGGGAGTGAACCCCATCATTCCCAGCCAACATGGTCATGGGCCCTACTGGTTGGAGATGATGAGCTCTGTAGTCCATTATATCTTTAAAGGACCAGTTAAAAATCTCAGGTTAGACCTTTTGCTTTCTAAACCTGGGGTCAGAATCAAAATCCTGCCTGGTGTGTGTAGGTCTCTGCCCACCAAACCTCTCTGCTGAGTACAAAGAGGATTCCTTCACCCCCTCCTCCTTCTCTCTCTACACTCTCGAGTAGTAGAAGCCCTGTTTATCTCTTCCTCCAGGCTTAGGGTTTCCCATTGAGCTCCCTTCCCTCTTCTTCCAAAGCCAGCCAGAATACCGAACCCCCCGTGTTCCTTTGCCGAGCCCCTCACACGTTCCAGCTTTCCAGGCAGAACTGGACGATTTTCGAGACAACAGAGGCTCAGCCACTTCAGAACCATATGAAGGCCGTTAACTAGACTCAGGTTACAATTCCTGGGTGGCTCAGGTCTCTTGCTAGGCGAAGAGGAAGGCGGGCCTCGGGGAGGCCACCGAGAGGGCTGGGCCGAGGGAAGGAGGCAGTTTGCAACATTGCCTTGCAGAATCACTCTTTCCAAAGGCGTCCGCGGTGACAAGAAGCTACTCGGCGTGGTAGCGGGGTTTTTCCTTCCAGTTTTTTTTGACAAGCCAGGAAAGGAGAATAAAGGAGAGGCCGAAGCTGCCCACCCATGGCTAGGGGCTCCCGCTCCAGCAAGCACCCTCGCTCCCAGGGGTGGGGAGATCAGCGGTAAAAACCAAAACAAAGGGCCAAATCAGCGTGTGGGAGGTGTGCTCCTGTTCTCAGGTAAGGGCTTTCCGCATCAGTGCAAAGAAAAAGGGAGGGTCGTAGGGCGCGGAAAGTTTGCACGGGCAAGAGCCAGCCGGCCGGCCAGCCCGCCCGCAGCTTGCTTTGAAACAATGAAAAGTAAGGTCGGTCCTCTGGAATTTGTTTTAGCCTCTTCCTGTTGCGAGGTAAAGAAGTCTTTTCTCGTTTCTCTCGGGAAAGGACTCCTCCCCAACGATTCCAAGTAAGTAGTGAGGGATGCTGGCTGGGTCTTCCTCCGCCGGACCTGGTCTCGCAACGCCAGGTCGGGAAGGAGGAAGGGCAGAGAAATTCATGTTAATTTTGAAAGGTTAGCCTTGAAAAACGAGCCTTAACTTGCTTAGGGGAAATACAGTTTTTAAAAAAGGGTGCAGGAAGAAGGAAGGTGCATCTGTCTCATCAGGCCTGGGGCAAGAAATGGCTTCTTCCCAGCTGGTTGGAATTTTAAGAATCTCAGGGTTGATAAAAAATGTTTCTGGTCCTCATGGTTAGTAAAGATGGGCTAAGATTTTCATTGCTCCGATGGTGATGAGGGTACCGTTCTGATGAAAAAGCTCATATCTGCGTCCATCATTCCCTCAAACACTGAAGTTCCATGCTAACAATCCTAGTTAATCATCATTTCCATACAGTATATAAGAGTTAGTTTATGTGTTGTTTTTTCCCCCAGCAAGTGGAGTTGCAGAACTATGTACAGTAATAAGATGACATGAAAGATAATAATGGAGTCCATAGTTAGAGCAGAACGTGATTTGTTTTTTCATTGAACGGTTTATTTGGAAGAAAGTTGCCAGCTAGGGAGGATTTTTAGGTTTCGCTGAAGATTAAAATGGAGCCAGGAATCGCAGGTGCTAATTCAAAGGGTTAGGGGTGTGTTCACACAAAGTTTAAAGGTAATGTGCTACTAACCATGGGGAAGGCATTTATGTGGTATATTTAGGCTGCTTGAGGGGTAGCACTTAAGATGTTGGGCTGGCATCAATAAAAAATATTCCCCCTGGTCTGGCACCAAAGGATCTGTTTCTTGTGTAATCAGGACCACAACAATTTTTGCATTAGCTAATTACTACCAAATCTTGGGTTAATTTTGTTTCAGAGTAAAAAAAAAATATTGTTTTTTTTGGGGGGGGGCTCTCTGGTTACTATGCCCATAAAAGAAGGGTCTCCATAAACAAAGGGAAGCAGAAGAGATGCTGTACCTAAAGTAAACCTATTTAAGAGTTGTAGCTTCTTGCTTTCCAAGAATTAGCCTTGGATAAAACCCTCCTCCTGGATCTGAAGGACATAAAAGGAGGGCAGGCTAAAAGAAAGACTGATAAAAGGAATTGTGACTTTATGCCTTACTCTTAGTTTTACCTTTACCAGATTTACAGGGCCTAGCTGAGTATATTGTCTGAACATAGGTTTTCTCTTCTCATTTCCTACTGCTCTTCCTTCCACACAATGAATCTGTCCTTTCACATAGCTGAATACGCTCAATATGAAGAAGACCTTAGCTGGTTAATTGAGTAGAATACTCAAATACCTGATACCAATTAGGATAGTTGTTGGTCTGAAGTGATTAAGTCAATTTTATTTTAATTTTTTTACAAACAATTTGCTCATTCTAATGAGAGGTGAAATGGTGTGAGGTAAAATAAAATAGTGGTGGATTTTGCTTGGAATTTTCTCCAGAAAGAGCAAAATATCCTGAGCTAGCCTTTATATTTATATTCATATATGCTGCATGTTTTTATTTGGCATCAGTCTTCTTCAGCCAACACTCCCCAGATGTGTTGGAGAATTCCTATCATCCTCATGTGTCATATGGTCAGAATTCTAGTCCAGCCCATTTGAAAGATGCTAGGTTGGAAAAGGCCTATGTCCTTTTCCAGAAAATCATCACAGGCCATTATTTCTCTTGAGAGCCAACTAATGCATTCCTGACCCCACATAATGAGCATTCTGTTCTCATTTGGCAGTAGTGAATGTTATCTGGATCATAGCACATAGTCCATGGTCCTTCATCATCTGTCAGGTTCAAACTGAGGCCTTGAATGAATTTACTCCATTTAGTAATACCTCTGCTGCAATTCCTCAAACAACCATAAATTAATAATTTAATCATTAATTGATTAAGGACAGATATGTCATCCTCGGAGCTACAATTGAAGGAGAGGAATTCCAAGATATTGGAAACATTTTTAGTTCAGAGTTTCTTGAACGACTGGCCATAACTGAAAAAACTCATGCATACATACTTACTTAAATACTTATTTTTAAGATAAACTAGCGGTTTTCTCATCAGCTTTGTTTTTGGTTAACTTATAAGCATCTGTCATGTAAGGAGATCAGGGAAAATGTCAATGGCACCTTCTCAGTTCACCACCAGTGCTGGCCAGGTATTTTAAACCTCAGGTAAACTGGATTGATTTTTTTAACATGTTACAGGGATTGGTTGGTGGAAATCCTTATGCAATAGTAGCCATCTTCTTAAGAAAACCCTCATAAGTGCATAGTATAAGAAACATCCAAGATACATTATTAAACGTTTCTGTAAGAAAATTCTTCTTCGTTTACATTTTTCAGTGTAAATTAACTACCATAAAATTACATGCAGTCCGCAGTCCGCCAGAACTTGCTTTCCTTTCTTTCTTTTTGACATTTTCTTTTTTTATATTTTATTTTAATCAACTGTATATTTTGATTGGCATTTTACCAGTTTAGCATCAATGTTTTCTAATTTCCTTACAAATCATATTATAATTTCCACATATCCAGCTGACAGAAGATTTATTATCAATTATTCTCCCACTACAGACAAATGACAAATGAGGCTTTGTCATACAGTTTTTTCAAGTTAGGAAATTTTTGATATTTTTTCAAATAGAACTATTGACCAAATTTTATTTTCAATTTTTTTAATTGATAAATTATCCAACTATTTTCAATGTTGAGCAATTAATAATTTAGCTAGCAAAGCTCCTGGTGACTGCCTTGACTAGTCCCTGCAGTTTTCTTGGAAAGTGGTTTGTCATTGCCTGCTTCCTCAGACTGAGAGAGCTGGCCCAAGGTCACCCAGCTAGCTTTTTGCCTAAGGTGGGACTAGAACTCAGTCTCCTGGTTTCTAGCCTGCTACCTTAATCACGAATATATTTTAGCCCCTATCCCAGTGATGGCGAACCTTTTAGAGACTGAGTGCCCAAACTGCAACCCAAAACCCACTTATGCATCGTTGAGTGCCGGATGGGTGTGGCCCATTGGGTGGGCCTGGCCAATTGGGTGGGCGTGGCTGCAGTGGTAACAGCAGACTGGGTGGGACTAAAAAGTTCAATCAATCAATTCCAACTTTTTTTTCCCTGCGAGAAATTGAAATTGACTGATTGAAACCCCCCCCTTTTTTTTTTTGCACACGGCAGTGGAGGCCTAAAGCAAAAAGGTTTTATAAAACCCAGCTGAAGGCCTAGGACTGGGGCGATGGCGTGCGTGCCCACAGAGAGGGCTCTGAGTGCCGCCTCTAGCACCCGTGCCATAGGTTCGCCACCACTGCCCTATCCTTTCCATCAAATATATGTAAATACATTGGTGTATTTTTTTTTCATTATAACATTCAATTTATCAAAAAATTTTTTCCAAAAATCGGATACTTTTTCATATACCCATGAAAGCTAAAAAGCTAATTCCTGTTGTTGTTTTGGGGTATATGGGGAATTCTTTATGAAGGTTAAATGCCAGTGACGCAAACTCTTCAAATAACTGTATAGTCCCCTAATCACTTTAATGCTTGCCATATATCAAACTGTTTTCCAGATCAATCTCCCTTGCATTTTTCAAACCTAGAGAATAGTTTTCTGTACAGTTATCTGTTTGCAATAATAACACATACATTTTGGAGATTGTGTTTTACATGGAGAAAGGTCATTTAATATTAATTTCTCAACACTTGTTGGGTGATTTGTAAATTATTTTAACTTTTTTACACAAAAATAGTTTATATGAATCCACAAAGCCACAATATTTTATATTCTAATTGCTGCTTTATCTCTTCTTTACTATGAGTTTACGAATTCTTATAACAGCCTAATTCTATATACAAGTAGTCTTTGACTTATGACCACAGTTGAGCCCAAAATTTCTATGGCTAAGCAAGGAAGTTGTTAAACGAGGTTTGCTCCTTTTTGCAACCTTTTTTTTTGCCCCGGTTGTTAAGTGAATCTTGCAGTCATTTAGTGAATTCAGTTTCCCCATTGGCTGTTTGTTGGAAGCTGGCTTCCAAAACATGTTGCAAATAGTTATGACATCACCCCAAGATATTGAAACTATCCTAAATACATGCAAATTGCCAAGTGCCTGAATTTTGATCATGTGACCATGGGGATGTGCCAATGGTCATAAGTGTAAAAACAGTCATAAGTCACTTTTTCAGCGCCTTGTAACCTTGAAAAGTCAGTAAATGAATGGTAATAAGTTGAAGACTACCTGAATTGATTTTCATTTGGCCAGTTCTGTATCGATTATAAAACCCACATAGATCATTTGGGATGTTAAAGTAGATTCATGCTATAGAATTGCTAGGTACCTATCCTTCTTTGTAATATTGTTTGTTATTTTAGGTGTCTTTTTAAAGAATAAATAGTTTAAGTACTTATTCAAATCATATTTTCAACATCTATCACTGTTCTCACTGATCTCATTTTGGATCTTATTTTATATTTTGGCTTATAAATTTAATAAATAAATCTTTCAAAATGGATGGGCTGAGATGATCTAACTTGAGAATATAATTTAGATGTAGATTCCCGTCTTTTTTTTTTTTTTGAGAACTACAGATTATCTTTCTAATGATCGTTGGATTGTTTTGAATTGAAATAGAACGTTTCATCATTCTTTTACCATTCTGTGAAAAACTTTTTCTAGGATCTTCATAGATGTTTAATTTTGAAAAGGCCATTGTTTTACTTACAGCAATTCTGTAGTTAAATATTGACACAGATCTTTCTTTC